ATCCTGGTAAGAAGTAATTTCCTTCAGTTCAGGAAAACAGAGGGAATGTTTGGAATTTTATACTAAGACACCCCTCTGGAAAATTCCCAGTCAGTTCTTCCCGCAATGCTTTATAGCTCTCCCACTGGCTCATGAACTTGGGAAAGTTCATAGCTAGCTTTTTCCAAAAAGAATGCCAATCTCTCTTGTCCCTTTTTTAAAGGGTGAAAGAGGATGTCTAAGTAATACCAAGTGAGTGTGAACTGAATTTGTAGTTTGGGCAATAAGCCTAAGGCATAGATGGGCAGCTCAAATCCAAGTGTCAATGTGGGAAGGAGGGAGAATTTAGCCTGGGGGAATTTCCAAGACTTTCTGTCAAAAGTTCTCAAGGCATGCAGCATCTTCCATGCTGAAGTCTGTCCTTTGCTAAGTACCGCCCATGCAAGAAAACTGTAAGGAGGTCACAGATCATTCTGAAGAATCAACGCAATGTCACAGGCTGATGACAGGTTGACATCTAAGGTCATAGACCAGTTTTCTTTGGGGGATGTATTCACAGAGCAGAAGAGCTGTATCAGCAAAATGTCACTGAAAGCTGTCACCAAATTCAACAAACAGGGCAGAGCACTGCTCACAAACACACCAACACTTAGTAAATTGAGACTCCTCCATCCCTTTCACAAAGGCTGCAATAGAATAGCGTGTTATAGTAGTTTCTTAGGCCAAACATTGATACATAAAGCCCTATCGAGAATGTCAATGTCAGGCTTATCCATAACTGTGATGTTTGGAGTTTTTCCAAGCATCTCTTGAACAATTTTAGCAAAACTCCAATGGTAGTACTCATCACTTACCAAAACCAAGAGGCAGGGTATAAAGGAAAGTCATGAATGAGCCTGTGTAGCATGTAAAGACTGATCCCTGCTTTTATAAAGAGATAATCAACAGGTGATAAATTGGAAATGCAGAATAATGGCAGTGGTTTGCAGCATAGACTCTGAGTCAGATAGATCTGGGATCTAGTCTTAGCTCCTTCATCTAGATGTTGTATGACATTATGATATTATTTAATATCTGAACCTCAGTTTTTACATCTGTAAAAATGGGAGTAGTAATAGCACCTACTCCATGGAATGGAAGAAGGGATTAGATTATGTAAATAAAGTACTTAGTACAATGTCTGGCACATAATAAATTATAAAAATTCTGGTTACTTTTATGATAATAATTACTATTATCATCATTACTAGTTATAATTAGGAAATGCTTTTCAAAAGTGAACACTTTGAATGTAACTTGCATGTCATCTGATCTGGAAATATAATAAGGGTATCTAATTCCCACTGATTTAGTGAGTCAAACAGAAAACCAAAACAAATTGAATCATTCAACTGGTGTATTTAGAATTGCTGATGATTATAGCATTCAAGAAAGTTAGTGAAATACATAAATTGCAATTCAGCTATCTTGAAAAATCTCAAAAATAAGTTATTTGTCTAGTCTAACAGTGGGCAGGGCTTAATTGTTTAAAAATGTTTATTTAGAGCCTTCTAGAAAAGAAACATGTGCAAGGTGAATAAAGAGGGAATAAAGTGTGTTAATACAAGGCAGGTATGCCAAAATCATTTATGTTTCATCATAGACTTCAAAAAAGGATGTGTTTCTTTTACATAGCACTTTATGCTTTTCATGGAATTTTCTCTGCATTGCCATCTTATATTTTTAGACACATACAGAGAGGGCCACATGTACACATACAATCTCTTTGAACCCAGCACTGATTATTTTCAAGTCAGTTCTACTATGAGAGTCCTCGTTCAGATGGAGGGGAAGGTATGGCATTAGCAACAAGGTTGTAGGGCCAGTCCAGAAAATACATTCAATGGATAATCTGATTAGCAAATTTTGGAAGGGGTTGGTATATGCATTTTACTTATCATCTAATTCAAAAAACTCCATAACACAACTTGGACAAAGTTACCAGTATCAAAGGTCCTAATGTAGCATAATTTGTGTTGAGTGTGTTATATTCTGACAGTGCTATAAACCAGGAAGACAGTTTACTGACAATTCTGTGCTACCAGATACCAACTCAGGCCTCTGTCCAGCTTTACATTGTCAATTCTCATGGAAACATGAGCAGTTACATAGCCTCAGAGGACGCTGAAGTTTGGATTGCAAAAGACGAGATGGACAGATTTCATATTTTCATTGCAGATTTTTTTCTTTGCCTTTTCAAACTGCTGAGCATAATTTTTTTAAAGGCAGGAAATGCAACTAGTGTTTGTTTCTAGCATGGCTTCTGTTTTGAGATTTCTTCTTTGTAGAAGAAATGTGTTGCCCAGCTGTCTAGAATCCCAATCAGGATACCGTTTCAGCATGAAATATATTACAAGAATGATTTTAGCTGATTATAAACTAGAATGAATATGAGGCTAGGGCTATTTTATCCAAATTTTACCCACAGAGGGGGCACTCTGATTCAGTTAAATGGAAATAAATATAAATAAATGAGGTAAAGTTTAGTTCTGTGTTTTGCCCAGAAAAGAGAGTAATTGTGAAAGACAAAGAATTGCATTAGTGAACAAGCAGAGCTGTGGAGATTCTCAGTTACAGAGATTCTTAGAAACAAGAGTCATGTGGCAATTGGCCAAAGGTATCACAATCAACATTTTACAGACTGGTTCAACCCAAGTTGAATTGCTGGAGAATTGAATGCTTTCCAGTTTTAATACTTCTCCTACCTGCAACACCCACACACACTGTTCAACAAATATTACTTAAAAACTCCCTGTATGAGGAACTCCTTGTATGAAAACACCAAGGCTAGAACTGGTTAATGGGAAAAGATACAAAGATGATTCAAGTCCTACCTTTTCAGACATTTCAGCCAGTATCCTATTTTTTGATTCCAAGACTTACAAATTTTAATGTTTCTGAAATACAATCACTGAGTACATTTGATTATATCCTTTCCAAAAGTTGGCATTAAATCTATGGGTCTTATAATAGATGGAATTTTAAAAGTTAGAAGTGAATGTACTACTGTAAATTCAGCTACCCAGTGTAAGGGGAACAGAAAAGAAGTCTGACTGGAGGATTCTTGAATGAAATTACTATAATCTGGGCCTTGACAAAAATAAAAAGAAGAGGAAGAAGAAGAAGAAATCTTCCAGGCTGGAAGCTTGTGTATGTGGGATGGGAAGGAAGAGAGAAGGATATTGAAAGTAAAGGGAAGAGCATGTGCAAAGACATTAAAAAACACAACAGTATGTAAATGTGGGAGTACAGTTTATATATTAAATAGATGTATTATGAAAAACATTCAGAGGACCTGAAGCCAGCTATTATAGAAGCTAAGTGGGAAGCTAGAGTACCAGGATTTGGAGTTCATCTGAAGACACTATTGACTGTTTTTAAGTGAAAGGAAAACTAACATGAGTCTGTCACATTCCTAAGGCAGTGCCATAAATGCTATCCAATTTAATTCTCCCAAATGTTTCCAACGCATCCCCCCACTGTTTTTCCTGATAGGGAACAGAGGCACAGTGAGGTTAAGATGCCAAAGATACAAGGAGTAAGTCTAAGTTCTACCCCATCTGTATGATTTTAAAATTAAAAAACCTAGTAGTTGTGTATAACACCAACTTAAGATGTTTTGGTTTTCTTGTCTTTCATTTGCTAATTTTTTATTTTTATTTTTCGAATTAATATTTTTTTTAGGAGCAGTTTTAAGTTTACAGAAAAATTGAGTAGAAAGTACAGAGGATTACCATATATCTCTTCACCCTTCCAAAAGTTTTCCCTATTAATAACATCTTGTATTAATGGGGTAGATTGTTACAATTGATAAGCCAATTTTGATGTATTATTATTAACTAAATATTATAATTTACATAAGGATTCACTCTTTGCATTGCATTTTATGGGTTTTAACAAATACGTAATGACATGTATGCAAATTTGCAGCATCACACAGAAATGTTTGACTGCCCGCATAATCCCCTGTGCTCACCTATTCATCTCTCCCTCTTTCCCCTCCGAACCTCTCCCACTGCTTCCCCTGATCTTTTACTGTCTGTAGTTTTCCTTTTCCCAGAGTGTTATATTGTTGGAATCACACATTTTCACACTGGTTTCTTTTACTTAGCAATATGCGTTTAGATTTCTCTAAGTCTTTTCATGGCTTGAAAGCTCATTTCTTTTTATCCCTGAACAATATTCCATTGTATGGATGTATTATGGTTTTTTTGTCCTTGCACCTATTGAAGGATATCTTAGTTGCATTCTTGTTTTGCCAATTACGAACAGAGCTGCTGTAAATATTTGTGTGTACGTGAGTTTTTAACTCATTTGGGTAAGTACCAAGAAGTACTGGATCATACAATAAGAATACGTTTATTTTCATAAGAAACTGCCAAATTGTCTTCCAAAGTGACTGAATTATTTTGCATTTCCACCAGCAATGAAGGAGAGTCCTGTTGCTCCGGATCTTAGCCTGCATTTGGAGTTGTCGATATTTTAGCCATTCTAACAGGTGTGTAATGGCATCTCATTGTTTTAATTTGCAACTCCTTGATGGCATATGAACTTTCTAATTTTTTTGTTATCTATTATGTTTTTCTAATATCTGTTATTTTGACTTTTACATTTTCCATCATTCATTCTTTCATTTGTCAACATATAGTAAGTGTCCATTATAAGCCAGTAACATTTTCTGAATCTGGGTGATTTTTCTTTCTTTTACTTTTTCTATTCTTTCCTCCATTTTTAATTTGACATGTTCCCTTCATTATTTGTTTTACATAACCTATTAATTTGTCCCTGTATATATTCTAATCATTTCTAGATAAACTGGTTGGTTATCCTTCATTTTTCTGATAATATTTTTTAAATTTCTTCCATTCTTTTTCTCCTGTTAGTTTTATTATTGTTTATTCATAGTACATGCAGCACACAGTCTGAAATATTGTTAGATATGAAACCGTTGAAAAAAAATGTCTGAAGTGGAAATCACCTACCTTGGTTGACGATAAATCTTAACTTTTGTATTGTTGCCAGATTGCCACTAACTCGATATATTCCATCAACATCTAGACCTGAAAACAAAAGGGCATATTTTATATTGGCACATGTAAGAACTGAGATGGTAAAATTAAAAAACTATGAAAACAAGAAGTAAATCACATCAAGTATCTCTTTTCAGAGAAAAGTAATTTCTATGTTCTAAATTATGCAATCTTCAAAATTTTAATCCCAATAAAGTAATCATGGTATTCAGTCATAATTAAAATTATCATCATAAATTTGAGTCTAATTAAGGCACAAAAGAGCAGTAGGCAGAATGGGATTACATTGTATATTTAAAACTCATTTCCAATGAAAAAATAGGAATCAAACTGGATGGTGGGGGGAGCCTCCAGACATTTGTGTATTATTGCCCTTTTTTTTTTTTACAAGGTAAAATAACTCAACACATTTGTGAGACATTTGCTACTGGCCTGACTTACTGTCTTCCTGCCTTTCTGTCTCTCTTCTTTCTTCCTTCTTCTCCCCCCAGCTCCTTTTCTTCTTTCCATTTCTATTCTATTCTATTCTATTCTACTTTATTCTATTCTTGTTTTTCTGTGATCTCTACAGAATAACATATTTTGGTCTGATTAATTGAAACTAAAAAGTAAAAATTCTTTTCCAGATATAATGTTAGTCTATTATAGGTAATGGGGTGCATCATTATGAAGAGAAAAATAATTTTTGGCTAAATGGTAAAATGAATTTCAGATTATTTCAGAACTGGTCATCTGTAATTTAAAATAACTTATCCCAGCAGTGAATTTCAATAATCATTCATTTGTTTTCCACACATCTGTATGTGGAATCTAGTCATTTTCATGACCACATTATGAAGACAATGAAGAAACAGGAAAATGAAAGGGGCATCACTTAGTCAAAAACTATAGTGCCTAAAAATGCTGATAACATAATTGTAATGTCAAGAGTGTATATTCTCTGGGCACTCAGAGAGACCTAGGTGAGACTGCCAGCAGATGCAGTCTTATCTCAACAGTTTCTCTATGGAGGTGATACAGGATCACGGATAACCATTGTAATTCACAGTAGTATTAAACATATTGGTAGAAATTATTGCCATAATATAACAGAATAAAGGCTTTCCAAAGCTCTTTACTGACATAAAATGAGCTCATTTATTGCTTTACCATCTTTACATTTTTATACACTTTATATTAGGAACAGTTCTGCCATTATAAAAAATATTTCACTGGGAGATTATGGTAGAATAACATAACTTATAACATTGGTAATAATAGTACAATTTAGGACAATCATTCACTATAGTTTTTACTCTTCCATGTAATAAAATATAGGGTAACTTGAGATAATGGCAATAAAATGCAATAGCTATTAATACATGTATTAATTCACGTGAGTTTATAGTTTTAGAATAATCTAGGAAATTACTGAGACTCTGTCTCTTCCTGAGAACTATAAATTGTAAGGAACTGGGTGAAGCTGGATACCAGTTAGCCAGTGGTGAAAGTTTGTAAGACTTTAAAAACTTTTTTTGATTTGAAAAAATCAAATACATTTTTTCTTTGTAATGCACAAAATACCTCCATTAAGCTAAGTCTACTCTGGTTTGTTTGTTTTAAAGTACAACTTCTGCTTGACAGCTTAAATGTGATAATAGTCCTAATTAAAATTTTTCTAATGTTTAATTCCTAGCTTTAGTATTGGTCCATTTTGGTCTTAAGTTCATGTACTTACACCCAGAATGATAAAAGAGTAATTTATAAAAAACTTATTAATTAGTTTCTTTTTTCATTTGTCATTAGATGCTGTTTGGTACTTAGTTTTAACCTATAAAATTTTAAATAAGGGATAGATTTTAAAATGCTAAAAATTGTACATTCAAGGGTGTCTTTCTCAAAATTTTCTTAATTTTTTTGAACATATAGCTACTGATGAAATTATTTTAGAATTTTTCTCTAAAATCACCCTCAGAGGCCCCGAAGTGTTTACACAAAAATGTTCATGATGGTACGCTTGGGGCTTTTGAGGAGCGTTTTTGATTGGGAAGTAGACAAATGTCATCAGAACCATGAGTGGTGAATAAAGTCACTTTGATGCCTGCCACCACAAACAAAGTTTTATCAAATGAATGTGGCTCTGATTTGTTCCCATCGATTATCAATTGATTTTAAGGAATTTAGAGAAAAAGAATATTTTAGAAAATAGAAACATCAATGGATTATATGGGTCTTTGTTCTGTAAATGAGAAATTCTAATATGCTTTTTAAAGAATCAATCGAATCATCCTATTTGCAATAATGATTAAAGACGAAATATGAATATCTATTACAATAAAAATGAGAATGTATATTTTTTAAAATTGTTTGTTTGCTAATTAGCTAGACCCTTATCAGAGGTTGATTCTAAATAAAATTATTTGAACTTCAAAATTTAATTGCAAATAAGGGACTTAATCCTCACTGTATTTTATTTATTTTTTAATCCTCACTTTAATATGCCTATTCCTCTATACAAGGTGTAAAATCAAGTGTGTGTCTATTTTGAAGTTAGCACTCTTCCTTTTCAAATATTATTATAAATCCTATTGGAATGCATAGAGTTGTAAACTGGTTTTTAACTGCTGAAATCCCGTGTATTCAAAACTTTCTTTTTCTCTTAGAGTTATAATGTAAGAAGTACTTTCCTTGGTATTCCATAAATTTCTGTAACTTCTTTTTAAGTCCAGCCATCAAAACCATTCGAAAAAGCAATATGGATTGGACAAATTATATATGAACAATTGGAAAGCAGTATATCATTTAAAGAAAGCAGCCTCATCCTAAAGTAATAATGCAACTTTCTTTTGGCATAAAAGGAGGGAGCACGGTTGACGGAGACAGGGAGGGTAAATCAGACCTGTGCCACCACTGTGGTTGCAGACCTGTGCCACCACTGTGGTTGCAGACCTGAGTCACAGCAGAGAAACTACTCTGTGGCTGAAGATAGAAACCAGAAAGAAAAAAGGAGTAAAGCAAAACATATTAGATGCAATATGAATCTATCTTGACACAACTTCCAAGCTCTTTAGATTCAAAGATATCAACACTATATATCTTGTGAACGATAATGATCTCTGACATTAGCGGCTCCTGCTTTGAATGGCTCATGCTTTCCTGCTATCATACTTTTTAAATTACATAAATAGAGTTAAAATGACAAAGCACATATTGAAAAGGAGGGTATTACATTTTGCAAAATAATCTGAAACATATCAGTGAATTTTAACAGTTATAAATTATATAGGTCCAGTCTTGAAGTTGATCAGCATTCCCCAGAATGGCTCACAGAACGGCAAACCCAAAGTCCTAGGACTGTTGCCTAAATTACAATTATTCACGTGCCATCCTCCCTTTACTCCAAGAACTTTGAAAGTTATGCCAAACCAAACCAATGTAAATTGGTGGATTTGGACATCCTTTTCAGAACATTATTCTTGCTGGATTGCAAACTACTTATTTTGGAAATATAATTAGACTTTGTATGATTTTTAAATGAACAATGTCTTCAAGGTAACTTTTTTGTGCTTTGGAGAAGGTTGGTGAAAAATCGCTTAGAGAGGTACCCCTTTCAAGAAAATAACATGACTGTAAATGCTGACAGGAATTTTGCCTTTTATGCTGAAAATACTTTGGGAACATGATAAAACTAAGTCATTTTACTTTTAAAAATCAGACTGGCATTAACAGTAGCAATGAACAATTCTCTGAAGAAATCCACATTCACTGAAATATCGTTTATTTGTTCATCATCAGCTGAACTTATATTTCAAAATAGTGTTTACTGTTGGCAGAAATCACTGGGTATTGCTGTAGGGGATTTTTAAAAGTCTCCCCACCCCTCCCCCATTTATTCTGAAGAAGCTTAGAGTGGGATAGACACACAATTAGGAGTTATTAGAGCAAATGGTGGGTCTAAGCTCAGTGGAAAGAATGCAGCTGTCATGAGTAATTCCCACCATAAATCTTAGCCACTTTGTAAAAAGAAATCTAAGACCAACACTCTGTCCAGAGTTGACTGGCTTATCTGCCAAAATATGGCAGTTTTTGACAATGCAGATGAGTCTGTTACAAATACTCAAAAACTGGTTTAGGTAGCATTTTTGGTAGCCCAAACGATGGACAAACCACGCAGATGTGGAGTTTGAGCCTGGTTGAGTGGTGTGCCCCAAAAGCCTGCTTGTTTTTCTGATCCATAACAAAATGCATATGATCCTCTGCAGTCTGCAAATGTGGGCTGGGAACTTAGCACAAACAGTCCCTCTCCTGAGATTTACAGCACTTCCCAATTCCTAGGAGGCCAGAGCTACCACAAGAAAAGTCATTTTCGAAATACTTTGGACTTCTGGCTTCTCCCTCCAGCAAAAGCCTTTGAGCACAGAAACACTCAGATTACCCTCAAACTCTGCACATTTCTCACTCGGTCCTTCCAAAGTTCTACTTGGGTTCTGAGCTAAACATGAGAAGTTCTGGTGCCATTCAGACCTATCCGTCCTCAAGTTGAAATGTTTCCAACATTGTTTTTCTAGCTTATTTGTTCACACACTTTAAATTCAATGACTGAGAGTACAGGATATAATTTAAAACTTTAATCTCTCTTCCAACTCAGTGGCTGGTGTTTATTTTGTACCTATCTGCCATCTTTATTCAATTATTGTTAATTTCTTATGAGATGCCCATCTTTCAATAGCCTTGCTATTTTCTAAGAGTGATTCTCTTAGGAAATAGCTGGCAGAATTTTCATTTTCAAACAAGAATAATTTTACTCTACAGGGTAACTATATAACTTCATAAAAAACATTCTAAAATATATATGCAGTTTTTTTTTTTGCTATACTTCTATGGTTAAAAAATAAAAAACAAAATTCAACCATTAGAACAATATACAGTCAGAACTAAGTACAGTAGGTGCCCCAACATGCTTTCCAAAGACAGTCTATTTTATGCCAGGCTCAGTGGCTCACACCTATAATCTCAACACTTTGGAAGGCCAAGGCAAGACGATCACTTGA